AATTTATTAATTAACACCAATTTTTTTCTTTATTTTTATTTTTAACAATGACAAAAAACCATTTTATTTAAATTATTTACAGATATTTTTTTATTCACATATATTTATCAACTTGGCAGTGATGCCAAGTTATTCTGAAGCAACCAAAAGTTGTTCTATTGAAGCATTCATGTCAAAAGAATATACACAATAAAATATTTAACCAATAAACCAGTAAAAAAACTATATTATTACTAAAATATTATATGAATTGGAACATCTATTTCGATATCATATATCAGCTGACATCAGCTGTTTTTTGACAACGTTTGAACGTTTTCACAATTTGTGTTTATAAAAGTTGATAGCACTACAGCTGTGTTACGATTATTAAATAAAAACAATAGATTAAATTTCTTAAAACCCAGAATACAAAATATTAAATAAATATATTAAAATAATAAAAGTAAAATATCATCACTAATTTAGTTTATCATCACTATTTGTACCATAATTTTTTTTATTAGTTATAAACAAATTGTTAATAATTCTTACTGTTTTCATTTACTTTACTAAACTAATTTAATAAGTGTGAATATTTTAAATAAATAAACCGTATAGAAATAATTATCTGTGCCAATTACTACTTTTCGAATTAATAGTAGAAAATGAAGCCATAATATTTTTAATTAAATTAGCTAAACACATAAATTCTATAAAAATATCGTCAATAGACATAACATAGCTACAGTACAGCTAATCCAATAATTCAAACGGTTTTAGGGAAGGGGATTAGGAGTTCAGTAAATTAACGTGTATATTCAGTTATACATGCTGCAAAACACGCACCCTTATTGAATTTTAATTAATTTTTCAAAAATTTATTTATTTTTTATATTCATTGGTAGTATAATCACTTGTTGTCGTTATTGTTTCAAGCGTTAATGCGTTCTTCTTCTTCTACTGTTTCTCTCCGTAATGCTTTGTATTATTGTCGATATAAATTACTCATCATTAGCATGTTTCAGTAAGAGGTTCTCGAAATCCACATAATGAGAATGGAGAAATTTGTTTTCCAATTTTTTTCTTTTTGGAAAATATACATATAATTTGGCTCATTAACGCTCGTGTAGTAATTGAAAAAGAAGAAATGCAACAAAAACAAAATAAATTATAGAAAAAGCAAAAGAATGAGCAAAAAAAAAAAGAAAAAGAATAGAAATTGTTTGTGGCTAATAATAAGCAAATTAAGTTATTTTAGCAAAACTGTCCATTTGGGATGTAGCAATTTAATCTAATTAGCTTTGCTAGCGGGTAAACAACGTAATAGATTATTGTCTTTATTTATTGTGTGCATTGTTGTTTCTAAGTTCTTAAGAGTGTGCTTTTAGGTTTCTATTTTTATTTTCTTTTATTTGTCATTGTTATATTATAAACGTGCAATGGTTGTATTTATTTTTAAAACGGTAAATTGAAACTTGAACAATAAATTTATTTAATTGATTTTTGTGAAATCGAAGCTAATAATAGAATATTGTAATAAAAGTGTAAAAATATATGTGCTAATAAAACATTTATTAATTTATTTTGTGAAATTTAAAACCGTTAAAGTTTAAAGCAAATTAATACCAGCACAACTTCTTCATATATTTGAAATAATAGTAATAAAAACAAAAAGTAATTTTTTTCAGTGTATAATGTATAATACTGGCAGCACTAAATACTGACATTAACCGGCTGACTCATTGCTTTGGCAATATTTTTGTTTCACTCATACACATCGTAATTGTACAAATTCATTTTGACATTTTTTCTCGTTTGTCTTGTTATTCGCTCGCACTGCAAAGTAAAGGCAGCAGCAGTTTGCGCTGACATTTCATTGAGCATTCAGAAACTCAAATAGCTTCGATACGCGTACATTTACTTTATTTTGTTTTATGAATTTTTAGTAAATTTTGTGTGCAATAAAATTGGAAAAAAAACATAGAAAAATAAACACCCTCGGAAATGTGCGTGAAAATTAGATAATAAAAATATATTGCAATGTGACTGAAAATGATTATTTATTTTACATGTTGGCATTGCAATAACTCTGTTGAAAGCTAATTTGTTATGACTAATCGGAATCGCAAGAGAGCTAAATATAAAAAATATTTGCTGGAAAAAAAATAATAAAGTTGAAATAAATGAATTAATTATTAACTACGACAAATTAAAGCAAATCGCAGCGACGTTATATAAAATAGTAAATATATTTATAAATTTGTTAATCTTCATCGGGCAGCGTACACTGGAATTTACTGGAAAGTGTTGTTGCCGCTGCCACAGTCGCTCAGCATAATTTTCTGCTCGTTGTGTAATTTATTTTTAACAATTTCTCAACCACTTGTAAGTAATGAACAATGCAAAAAGAAAAAAATTATGATAAAAAGTTGCTTAATAATTTTATAACTTTAATTTGTAATTATAATTATTCTTGGATTAATGCGTTTATGTATGTGTTATGTGTATTTGCTTTTTTTAATAATTGATGTGGAAGCAAATGGCTGCGTGTTGGCCTCAAGTGTGAGCAATTAATTACACAACGTTTTATGTGTTTGATTAATTTGTTTATTAATTACTGCAAATGTGACGTTCGCTTTTCCAAAATAGCACAAAACGCCCTTGAATGTAAGCACATAAACAATAAGTGCAGGGCTGCGTAGCAATGTGGCACCCCAAAAACCTGTCAATCAACAAGTGCAGTTTTTGACAAATGCAATTTCAAGTGTATTTTTTATTATTTTTTTTATTGTTTTTTTTATTTGTTTTTTTTTTATTTGTTATTTTTTTTTTGTTATTAAAATTTATTTTTTTTTGTTATTATAATTTATTTTTTTTGTTATTAAAATTTATTTTTTTTGTTATTATATTTTTTTTTATTGAAATTAATTTTTTTTTGTTATTAAAATTTATTTTTTATTTTATTCAAATTTATTTTAGTTCTTAAAATTTATTTATTTTTTGTTTTAAAGGTTTATGCTTGTTTTGTTTTTAAATTTTATTTTTTTTTTTATTTTTGAGGTTTATTTGTTTTTTATATTTAAGTTGTTTTTGTGTTTTTAGATTTTTGTTTTTTGTTTTGTTATTAAATTTTTTTTATTGAAATTTTGTTGTTGATATTAAAATTTTTTTTTTTTTGTTATTAAAATTTATTTATTTTTGTTATTAAAATTCATTTGTTTTTTTTGTTATTAAAATTTATTTATTTTTGTTATTAAAATTTATTTGTTTTTTTTGTTATTAAAATTTATTTTTTTTTGTTATTAAAATTTACTTATTTTTGTTGTTAAAATATTTTTTTTTTTTGTTATTAAAATTTATTTATTTTTGTTATTAAAATTTATTTTTTTTTTTTGTTATTAAAATTTATTCTCTTTGTTGTTTTTAAGGTTTATTTTTTTTTGTTTTTTAGGATCCATTTTTTTGTTTTTAAGCTTTATTTTTGTTTTGTTCTTGAAGTTTATTTTTTTTTGTTTGTAAGGTATATTAATTTTTGTTTTTAAAGTTTAAATTTTAAAAGGTTTTATTTTTTATTTCCATTCCCTTCTGTTTTCATCTTTAATTCGATTTTATTTATTTAATCAGCGCGAAGAAATTGGTATAAATTGGTATAAATAAATAAATAAATAAAATGTTATATGTTATGTTCAGTTATATTAAATTTTTTAAATATGTTAAAAATAAAATTTTTAAACATTAAACAGAGATAAGCAATTAAAACGACCCCTTAATTTAGAACAATTAATTAAAAAATAAAATTTTGTTGTAATTTACTACAATTTCAAAAAAGTTTTCTATTAATTAAATAATTTTGATACGTCCGATTTGATTTTAAAAATTAAAATTGAAGATTTGATTTATTTATTTTGAATTTTCAAAGATAGTTACATATACAATATCATCACGATAAACAAGATACTTAATAAGTCTTATCATTATCATACTCAAGAATTGTTATCATCAATAATCATACTCAATGATTATCTTCATTGTTTTTTAATTACTTCAGATACCGTAAAAAAAACTTTACTTCAATACTTTCTATTATTTTAATATTCACATGAATATTATTATTGTTACTGTGGTGTGGATTTATCACTCGAGCACCCTAGAGTTCTATTGTGTCCCTTTTACGGACTTGCGGAGCTTCTTCAAGTTCAATTTTCTTGTAAATTGTAGTATAGAACCTACTTCACCAAGAAATTTTTTCGTCATTAGATAAAACATGCTTACAAAAATAATCCTTTTGTTTATACATCAGTGCAGATTCTTAGCACTTAAAGTTTCAACTTCTTCTCTACACAACTATACTTCTTCTCCGTACACCAATAAATTTATCAAATTTTTCCATATAGATATAAATATGGAACCTATCACTAAGGTTATTGTTGTAACCGACAAGGGTCTATAAAGCAGATAACGTAAAATAAACTATAAAACGAATACATTGGTTAGGATGTGGATAGGTATTCGTAGTATATTATTAAAAAGTGATAATAGTTTGGGGGATGGATAGGACAAATTAAAGTCAACCAAGATTAAGGCGAAGAAAGTTAGCCATTACTATGAGGATTTCTATGCAATTTCCAGCGATTTTTGAGATAGCTTTAAGCAAAAAATATGTTTGAAAATAAGAACAGTAGTTCCAAAATGGAAGAGTAAGAGGATAATATAAGAAAATGTAGTAGAACAACTATAGCTAAAGAACTTACAAATAAGTTGTATATTATACCTAAAATAGCTTAGGTAAATAAAGACTTCTGTCAGACTTCAAGACTAATTGGGTCTAATCTATAGTAGGATATACTCAGGATTACACTATCGTTAGACTAATTGGGTCTAATCTGTAATAGGATATACTCAGGACTACACTATCGTTCAGCACACTTCGTGTTCGAAAAGCATAATGAGATTTAATCTATCCAATACGAAATTTGTCGTGTTTATCGTTCTGAAAAGAAAATTGTGTTTAACCTTATATATCAGTTCACATTCTTGGTCAGTAGAAGATTATGATGGGTTAGATATATTGTACCCTGGATGATCAATAAGAACACCCTATTGATATATTGTGATTTGAATTTATATTACAATTTACAGTGGTCTCATCAGTTATATAAAAGGAACCCAAAATTCTCAGGCGCTTGGAGTTGAAATGCATTTTTGCTTCTCTATCAATAAATATGCGTAGGAATTTCAATTACACTTAAAGTGATTTAAAATGCTGACTTTAAATATGTAAATAACCACGCCTTAAATTGCAATAATTTTGATTTACGATATTATACACTGTATAATGAAATGAAGTAGATAACAAAAATTGACCTTAATAAATGCAGTCAGATAAATAATATAGAGAAAGATGTGTGTCGCTTTGAACTTGCAGTGAAGTAATTACTTAGTTGAAGAAAGTGAATACTCAGAGATCTTCGCCACAATAAAAAGATCGCATTTTAAGTATTTTAATAACTTGTTTGGCAAAAATTATTATTATTATATAAATAGTTTTAGCATTAAATGATGACTATAGCACAGTGAGCTAAGTGGTCTGGAAATCTTTCACAGTCTGATAGTAGTATAAAGATAACTGGACATAAATTATTATAGTATTTAATATAATCGCTTTATATGAAGGCAAATGTATAATATTTAAGTTCCATAGTTTGCTCTCTACAATCTAGTCTTATATTGTTTTAAATTATTTTTTATAATTAACGTCTTTGCATCGCATTCACAACATCATGGGTTGATAAGTATAAAATGTAGATTTTGCAATATTTTTTTAAATTAAGAAATTTTATTTTTAAGTTCTATATATTGTGGTGGTATTCTCGAAGTTTAGGATTGACTGTTAGATACTTTGTATTTGTTATGTTATGTTAAGCTTTTTCCGAATTAGTGCATCTGGGCACTTTTACTCTATGATAGCTGGGAGGATTCTGCAGAGTCCCGCCCATTTTACTGACTAATTTGAGTATTCCTGATAATCTTCATGATTATTCAATGATTGATCTAAGATCTGCGTACCGCTTCTTCCGGTTAGTGATTACTCTGAGATTAGATATTGCTAATTAGGGCAGTCTGTCGGTTTTCGCATATAGCTTCAGAGCTTTGTTTCTTATGTATTTTTTGACCCGATCTATTCTAAGGTTTCTTAGCATGTCATTCATGCGGATGTACCATGGTACATGGTATTTGAGTTAATATTAAAAATGACGCTCATCTTCCATAGATTCGATTGACAGATTTTTTCCGATTCTAGGGTTAAGTATCACCTACTGCAGTGAATGTAGTTAATCACTCTATATATGTTTTAAAAATTATATATACTGAACCTTCTAAACGAAGAAATTAAAGCTGTTCGCATCTCTTTCATGTGTGTAGAGATAGTGTGTCTAAAGTATTACAAACACAAGTACATCTCTCTCCAGGTTATAGAGATTTCTCTAGTTAAGAAGAATTAGAAGAGTATATATAGTTGATGGACAGAATTATTAAAAGTTAACTTCCAATTTTTGTATGTTTACTAAGTACTTCATTTCAATTTTTTTTTCTAGAGCCTATTAACATTTTTCCATTAAAAATTAAAATCTTTTGATTCTGAAATTGGAAAAGACCCTTTCTTAGGAATGTAGCACACTTCATCGCGATAAGATAAGCTTATCTACTTTGCGGTTACATTTAGAATGTTATTATTATTATAGATAAAAATTAATACTGAATTTTAGTGTTGGTGGAGAGTCTTTAAGTTTAATTGCGCAATCGGTTTAATTAAAAATAAATTGAAAAGTTATGTAGGCGTTCGATAAAATGTTTTGTAATATTTCATTTTTTAGTACGTTTCAAAAATTTCTGATAGTTGCTATAAATAAAAAAAGAAAACATGGAAATAAAATATGAAATAGTTTGAAAAAAATACTTGTACAGTAGCGGATTCATACGTTTGTGACCGTATATTTTTTTCTATAATACATTTTCCACTGCTGTTAATATCATAAACTCTTTGTCTCTGATGAAGTATTCTTTCATTAAAGTGAAAAATTAGCATATAATTTTAATATTTGATAAAAACACAAATTAATTTGAAATGTTGTTTCAAGAAATTAAAAAAAAAATAAAAAAAAAAAAAAAAGATGTTATATTTATATTTCTTTAATTAATCATATTAAAAGGAAGTCGAAGCTATTAATGTTGCAAATATTTAAATATTTGCATCAACAAAATTCTATTATCAGCCAAGTAATTTATTAGTCATAACATTATTAATTAACAATGATCTGATATTATAAATAAAACATGAGAAGCACATAATATTTCCATTAGAAATATTCCAAATGTTTATGCGT